CTGGTTGCCGGTTCTGCGAAATAGAAATTCGAACCATTTATAATTTTGTTAGCTGGAGCGAGCGCACGCTTGGCACGTTAATCGCAACGATGACGTAGACTTGAACTGTGGGGCATGTGAGCAGCCAGACAGACACTGACCAGATGTTCAACCTGCTTTTTTCGAGGCTTGGGCCGGACTTGGCAGGGCCGCTATATCCTATCCCGAGCCCTCGGCTCGCCTTGCACACATGTCACCCCGACGCAACAGCGCACGCGGCGAGGCTCACTGCTTCAGTACCTCTTCCGCTAGTTTTCGTTCTAGACAGCTCTAGCCTGCGTCAGATGAGACTCGGAGGACAGTCCGCCTCGGGCTGCTCGTGTGACCGGTCGTCTCAGCGGTCGCGGGGCGGTGCCTCTCCACCCCGGCCGGGGCGTGCGTCACGCGGTGCCATCAGGTCGTCGGGCGGTGGCGGCGGTGCGGCGCCCGCTCGTTCCGCCAAACCCGCGAGGAGGGCGCGTGTGTCACGCCACGTCCCGAGGAGGGTTCGGACAGGTGTTCGGACACGCTCGGTGGACAGCCGCGGGTGTCGGTTCCAGACAGGTGTTTATACATGCCCGTTGGACAGCTGCGGGTGTCGGCTCCAGACAGGTGTCCACACAAAGTCGGCCTCAAACGGATGTCCAAACAAATGCCGGTCATGCGGGCTTCCTCAGAGGCGCGTCAACTCAGACGGCGTCAGGGACCTCCCCTGTACCGGTGAGGGAGTCCCTCACAAATCGCGGTGCATTCACGCGCTGGTGGCTTATCCGGCCTTGACTGGACGCCAGGAAGGTCTGGTGATTACACCTCCCTGTGATCGAAACCAGCAGGGTCTGGCAATTACGATGAGCGAAGGAACTCTCCGAACCGTCCGGTGTCGACGGCGCCGATGGAACTTCAGATGGGTCGCAACTGACGCTGCCGGGACAGCGGCGGCCTTTCTTATAGTGTATCCCGCGTGCCGAAAGGCATATCTGACCTCTCTCGCACCCGATATTTACGGTCCTCAGCAACTGGTACACACCGACCTGGACTGACCCGGCGTGCTCCGTGCCTGGCACCTAAAAAATATGAGAAGAGCCAAGGCGATACAGTGCACAGTGGCAAGTGCGTGAAGGTGTCCAACCCACTCGTGCTGTGTGGAGGAGGACTGCGGAAGGTGAAGTTGTAAGGTGAAGGTGTAAGGTGAAGGTGAAGGTGAAGGTGGAGGGGTGCGCCTGCCAAAACCTGCGCCGAGTCGTGTCCCGGCAGCCACTGAACGGGCACATGATTCGAGACGCCAGGTCACTCCGCCACTGGGGGGTGGCACCTGACGCAAGGCACGCTCAGGGGGCCGCGTGTGGCCCTCATAAAACGTCCAGTGACCTGGCGTCAAACAGACCAGGTCGTCTCATGGTCGCCGGGTCGTTTCACAACACAATTAAAACACCCGTGTTGCCGCGATGCGATGTCGCAGTGGCAACAAACACGTTCCAGATTGCCGCATGATAGTGGTCGGTTGCGTAAGCCCCCCCCCCCTCACCGCGTTGTTGATTACGATCTGTTGCGCACTGGTACCATTTTGCGTCAGCGGACCGCCGCCGTCGCCCGCTCAGGTCGCAGCGGCCGCGTGGGAATGACATAACACGGCGGCGGCACCGCTGCATGCCGACCTGCGCGACCGCGACCGCGGGCCGCTCTCAGCAGGTCGCCGACCCCTGCAGCGGCTTGGAATGCGTGTCATGCCTCATGCTCGCGCGACAGGCCCGCGTTAGGAGTCGGCTCGGCACTACTGCAGTATGGGCTTCGGCATTGAAACTGATGCAGTGTAACGTCCTGCGTGCACTCAGCTGATCAGTGGCGTGCATTGGTAGGCGCGTGCCAAGCAATGCGCAACTGGAGACTAGTAAAATGCTATAAACGGTGGTGTTAAGTGCATGTGAAACTGTCGGTACATATCGTCAACAATCTGCAGCCGAGCAGATCTAAGCGTTCGTTAAATTTGACACCTGCGTCTCCTGCAGGAATCTCGCATCTGACAAGCTTCGACAAGTTTTAACAGCGTCGCTATAATGATTATCTTCTCAGGATACCTTTAAAAACATTTCAGAATATCCCCGAAAATATCCCAAAACACCACCTCCCGAAAAAACCCTCACAATATTTCTGAAACATCTCGGAACATTCCGGAAAACATATCGGAGCACCTGTGTGTGGTGACCGGGTGGCTGAGCTACCCCATCCGCCGCCGGCAGCTGTCGCCGAAACGCCGGCCATCGCACGGCCACGGATGGACAGCTGGGACTTTCATTTGCAGGGGACACTTTCTCGGCTTGAGCGCGGCGCGAGATGAGTCCTGACGAGCGCTGCTGGCCCCTCCGGCCGGACCTGGCCGTTCCGCCCGGACGCGCGCGGCCCAGATGTGGGGCCGGGCGTCGCTGGCCGACGCCGCCTGAACTCGGGTTGTGTTAGCATACGCGACACGCTTGGCCGCCCCCGACGCCCTCGACTAGGGACGCCTCCCTGTTTGGTACGAGCTATGCAGTGATGGAGGACTGCCGCGGCTCTGTGAGACTTTGTGGAATTGGTTGGATCCGGCATGGCGAAACACAGGGAACTTCGCCGGCGAGACAGCCGCCCGCTGCCTCCGCGATGTCCTGAAGCTTAGCGTTTCTCTGTTTCGCATGGCTGCTGGCGCTCTGTGCCATTCCAGACGAAAGTGAAGTAATGATTGATGAGAGAGCACTGGAGAAACGTCCAGCAGCCTTATGTTTTAATATGGTTTACTCATGCCGAAGACATTGCGAAAAAGGATACCGACGTCAGTTGCTTTGGAATAGCTTGATATGAGGTAGGACGTCAGCTTCTGGTTTCTCAACATTAGGAGCTTAAAGTTCTTATTTTGAGTCAATGACCTTCAATAGTCCAGTAGGTACTGGTTAAACTGTGTTCAAGTGCTAAATTATGATCAAATTTATGGTGCTCAATGTTTCAAGATGTGCTGATCTTCAAGGGAGTGGGCATCATGCTCTCTTGAAGATGAGCACAACTCGAAATATTGAGAACCGCTAATACAATCGCCATTTAGCGCTACAAAGTCGTTTATGCTCTTACCTCCTGTGCTTCCTGGTGTAGTGAAGGTCACCGACTCAACATAAGAACTTTGAACTCATAATGGCTTCGGAATAAATCAGCTGCGAAACGCGACTGTGAAAGCGAGATAATGGACATAAAAAGACCAGTACCAGCGCGGAATATTGATGATCAACATCAAGGCGCATGCCACACTCGCAGGGCCCATGAATCACCTGACTGGGAGCCGTCCTCGGCTCCGCTGACGGCGGTGGAAGAGGCCTCGGATGCCGAGATGTGTGCCGCCCGGTCGGCTTGGCCCGTAATTGGTTTCCCGCCTCCGAAGACGGATGGGCGCGTCCCACTGCAGCGTCTGATCGAGAGCTCACGGGCCCAAGACAGATGGACCACCCTGAATGCGGGTCATCCAGGCGACCGGCCAGCGGTACCCACCTCCCACGCGGGCCCGCGACGAGGTCTTCAGCGGCACCCTCGCCCCGCCGTGCCGCTCAGCCTGCTACAGGCTCTGGGCTGGGCTCGGCTCCTGCCACCGAGCTGCTGATGGCCTCGGCTTCGGCCACCGAGCTGCTGATGAGCTCGGCTCCGACCACCGAGCCCTCATAGGCTCGGCCCCAGCCACCGAGCCACTAATGGGCTCGGCTCTGGCCCACCGAGCCACTAATGGGGCTCGGCTCCGGCCACCGAGCCACTAATAAGCTCGGCTCCGGCCACCGAGCACTAATAAGCTCGGCTCCGGCCACCGAGCCACTAATAAGCTCGGCTCCGGCCACTGAGCCACTAATGGGCTCGGCCTCCGGCCACCGAGCCAATGACGGGCTCGGCTCCTGGGGTCCGGTCACGCCTACATTGCCGGCTGACGCGATGGAGCTGGGCTCTGTTCCGCCTGAGCGGCGCCGTCTCGCCAGCTCCCAGCGGGCGGCAGTGGCGCCAGTCACTGACCCGCGCGCCCGGTCGGCGCGCCAGGCGCACGGCGGCCCGACACTGGCGGGCAGTCACGGCCAGTCTCACGCCAGTCTCATGCCAGTCTCGCGCCAGTCTCACGCCAGTCACGACGCCAGTCACGCGTCAGTCACGCGGTTGAACAGTCGCCAGACACAAGGCAAGCCCGTCAGCGACGGTCCCCAACGCCCACGCACCACACGCCTCGCACGCGTGGGACAGACACGCGCCAGCTCTCTTGAGCTCCCGCAAGCTGTGCAGCAGTCACACCAGTTCAAGGCCCAGGTCAACAGTGCCCTGTTCGCAGAGCGGCATTGGGAAGTGTATTGTATCTCTCTAGGGCGCATTACACGGTGGTTCTTCGGAGGTTCGCTGACGACTACCAGTCCACTTGACCGCTGCATGGACGTACGACCGTCTGACAGCGGTATGCCCGATCAGTGAAGCAGCCTTGCCGGTTGTGGCAGGGGCCAGCGAATGTTGACAGCGGTGCCGCCCGGCAAGTGGCTTGTAATCCAGGTAGGCGGTTTAGCGGCTTCAGATCCCTTCGCTGACATACTGTTACAAGGTTCTCCCAAGAGAGACGGCTTTTTGCAGTTTGCACTTTGCACTTTTTTCCGCGCCTGGCAACAAGGGCCATCAAAGGACAAAAATCCTTGTCATTTGCCTACCCAGGACCGCAGGTCCACGCGAATGTGCCGCAAAGTCTTAGGGAAGTTTCAGCGACTTCTCGGCGTGATAAAGCTCGACCGCCAAAAAGGCTTGGTTGTGACACCACATGCAAACAGCGTAGGATTTTCCTGGTGGATAAGAGACAGGATAAATGTTAAGTCGCGGTAACGCATATAAAACTGCCGTGGTCAGAACCTTGCATTTGTGTCATGGACATCAGTCGGGTATGCCAGCGATTTGTTTCAGAGCAATTTAACCGAGACCACCAGCCGTAACAGCGCTACCTTGCTTTCTAGGTGTGGAGAGCCTGTCGATCATCGCCAACAAGAACAAAACGAAGCACTTCCTCGAGGCTCGACTGCAGGAGGGTCTGCGGGACCTCGAGCCCATCACGACCAGCACCAGCACCAGCACCGGCGCCAGCGGTCAGTGCAGCATCGGCGTCACCACCGGCACCAGCACTGAACCCGCCAAGATGGCCGCGCAGGAGGCCATCTCGCCGCCGCCCGGCTTTGACGACTCTCCTGCCACGGAAGGCGTCGAGTTTGAAGAGTTCGACATGGACTGGGCGCCGCGGCGACCGGCCGCACCGCCCGTGCGCTCCTACATGTTCGGCGAGGCGCTGGGCGCGCGCGCACCGCCGCCGCCCGCCTCGCCCTCCTACCGCGACCTGTTCTCCGCCGACGAGGCCGCCTCGTCCGGCTCGGCGGCCAGCCTGGACGAGGCGCGCCAGGACAGCGCCTGCGGGACGGGCAGCGCGCCGCCCTCCGAGCCGACCGAGGACGAGGACGAGCCGGCCGAGCCGGGCAACGCGCGAGACCATGATCGCGCGTGAGATTCGCGAGCTGCGCCGGCGCGAGGAGGAGCTGCGCCAGCTGCGCGAGAAGACGCTTGGCGTGCATGAGGAGCCGCTCTCGGGTTACGGCAGCGAGGAGCGTGAGAGCTTCACCGAGGAGCCGCCAGGGTGAGACACTTCCTGTGGATCAGGCTCGTGGGAGCCTGAGGGAGGAGGAGGGAGGAGGAGGAGGGAGCGTGAGGGAGGAGGAGGGAGGAAGAGGGGGGAGCGTGAGGGCGTTAGTGGGGGAAGATAGCAAGTTTATATGGACATTGATGTGAAAGAAGCCTCATTAGGATAGGTAAAGAAATATTATTATAAAGAAGAACGTGTTGTCCAATGGTCAGGGTGGTAAAAAAACGGGAGAAAATGGACGTATGAGATCGAATCGAGTTCGAGATATAGAGATAAGCTACCAAAAATGAATGTGAGGGTGTTGACCAATGGCAAAAAGTCTAGCTTTACAATTGGTGAGATAGCTTGCATTGCATATTATTTCTCATTCCTAGTAATCGGCGTCGTCTGCCACACCTGCGTTCCACCCCTTCCTCACGCCTTTTGCGCCCCGGG